ACCCCCCCCATCCCGCTCCCCCCCTGGCCATCACCGTGGCATCTGGTCACTGTCATCCATCACCCGCAGGTGACCACGGCCTCAGGGACCAAATGCTTCGCCTGCCGCTCGGCCGCCGAGAGGGACAAATGGATCGAGAACCTTCAGAGGGCGGTGAAGCCCAACAAGGTGAGGGGGTCATTGGCGTGGGGGTGAGGGGGAGTCAACTGGTGGGGATGGAGATGGTCAACTGGTGGGGTTGGGGATGGTGAACTGGTAGAGATGGGGATGGTCAACTGGTCGGGATAGAGGTGGTCAGGTGGGGGGGATGGGGATGGTAAACTGGTGGGGATGGTACAATGGGGATGGTAAACTGGTGGGGATAAAGGTGGTCAACTGGTGGGGATAGATGTGGTCAACTGATGGGGATGGTGAACTGGTAGAGACAGGGATGGTCAACTGATAGGGATGGGGATGGTGAACTGGTAGAGATGGGGATGGTAAACTGGTGGGGATGGTCAACTGGTGGATGGTCATCTGGTGGGGATGGGATGCTCAACGAGTTGGAATGAGCTGGTCAACTGGTGGCCATAGGATGGTCGCTGGTGGGGATGAAGTGGTCATCTGGTGGAGGTGGAGATGTCCAGCCAGTGGGGATGGAGGTGGTCACTGGTGGTGATGTCCCCAGGGGTTGCCACGGCCCATGGGGCCACTGTGCCCTGGGGTTGCTGGTCCTGGTGGCCACTCTCAGGTGGGGTTTTCCCCCGATGTCACCCCTGCCCCAGGGTCACTGTCCCCATCTGCCCCCACCCCCAACTCTCCCTGCCCCACATCCCACACCCAAATGTCCTCGCCGCGAGCTGTCCCCACATCCCCTGCTGACCTCCCTTCCCTCCCACCCCCTCCTCAGGACAACAGCCGGCGGGTGGACAACGTCCTGAAGCTGTGGGTGATCGAGGCGCGAGACCTCCCCCCCAAGAAACGCTACTACTGCGAGCTGTGCCTGGACGACATGCTCTACGCCCGCACCACCAGCAAGGCGCGCACCGACAACGTCTTCTGGGGAGAACATTTTGAGTTCAACAACCTACCGGCCGTCCGCACCATCCGCCTGCACCTCTACAAGGACACCGATAAGAAACGCAAGAAGGACAAGAGTAACTACGTGGGGATGGTGAGCATCCCCATCGCCAGCGTCACCGGTCGGCACTTTGCCGAGCAGTGGTACCCGCTCAGCCAACCCAGTGGCAGCAAGAGCAAGGCGGGTTGTCCGGCTCTACGCGTCAAAAGCCGCTTCCAGACCATGAGCATCCTCCCCATGGAGCTCTACAAGGAGTTCGCCGAGTACGTCACCAACAATTACCGGATGCTTTGCGCCGTCTTGGAGCCCGTGCTCAGCGTGAAGAGCAAGGAGGAGGTGGCCTGCGCGTTGGTGCACATCTTGCAGAGCACCGGCAAGGCTAAGGTGGGGGGGGCGGGGGGGGAGGGTTGAGG